AACCCCAAAACAATCCCCCCCCCCCCCCCCCAACCCCGCCTCTTATAATCTTGGACCATTGGTGTTTGGTACGACGAAAATCAAGAAACTGTTTTCTATTAGGAGGTCATTTTCTGGTGTTTAGTCACCAAAACATATTTTCGAAGGAAAATAGTTTCATCAAAATGAGAAAAATGACTTTCTTTAGTAAGGACATTAAATGCAAGCTTTATAATACAAGCTTAATAGGACTCAATAGCGTTTGCCCTATTCTTATATATGTAGCTTAAAAATCAACTAAGTGTATATACAAAAAGAAAAATCAAAATTAGTCCAATTACTAGTACTTGTGGTTACTATCCTAAAAATTCACAACCCTAAAATTCAAATTCTAAATCTATCGACCGTCTCTGCCCTTATTTGTAGAAAGAATCTTTTTCCTACAATTATATAACTTTTAACTTTATACTATTTGTTCAAACTAACACTTAGACATTTTTATTAATCTTAATTACTCAAAAAATTCATAAAAACATTCTTCAATTTATACTATCATCAACTTTTAATGACGGATAATGTTCTTCACTCACCAATAAAACACCAAAAAATATTTTCCAAAAAGACGTCTTTACAGAAAATGATTTCCGTCATACCAAACACATGGATAACTAGTGAAGGGGCTTATTTATTTATTTTTAAATATAATGAATCTAACCTTTTCAAGTGGATAGACAGTTTTGGTGCAGGCCGCACATTTGTCTTGGGTTCCAGAAAACATGGCAGAGAGTTTGCTTGGAGTTCTTGCCTGCACAAAATTTTACAGACTAATTAGGATGGTTTAAAGAAACATAAAATATAATTTTTTGAATTTACAAATTTCATTTTATAATAAAACTTGATGAAAATGTACTTAATTACAAGCATAACGTACCAATGCATTTTCCTTGTCAGGCTTAGGTGCTGAAATGTTAATTAAAAGGACAAAAATAATTAGTAAAAATGAATTTAAAAAATTAATTGGCATGTATTATGTAAGTTAAAACAATGTCTTACAAGTCTGAAAGTTCTTGCTAAAATTTCCACATTCCTTAAAAAGTTGTTCAAAATGTGTCTTGCAATAGAGGACTCCATCCATGGAGGAGTAGTTGCTCATCTACATCATATTATATTAAATGTCATATTATTATCCCATGATCATAATATAAAAAAGAAGTACAATAAAAAAATAATGATCATCTCATGATCTATTGAACAACAATTTAAATTCTCTAGCGAAAGCCTAAATAAACGAGGAGGATTGAAGTAGATTGACCCCCATTATAAAACTACTCATACGTGACATGCTTAAATGGAGCGACATAGATAGTAAGGATTCATATAATTAATTATGACAATTAGTTGTCTGAAATTGAGGCGTGAAATTTGTTGTTGTTGATTTGATGTGAGGAGGAAAGATATCTTGCTAACTTTTAGTGGTGTTTTGAGATAAAAAAGGATAAACTTCTTTTAATCAATTTCTTGAAAAGTGGATGTGGTATGTTGCAACAACAATAACCACGCCTCAATTTCAAGTAAATTACGGTCTATTATAATGAATTCTTACTGTCCATGTCGCAACAATTACATATTAAAAGAAAGGACAAAAAAAGATGCACCAACCACAAGAGTTCCTTTGCAATGTGTGCATTTGAAGCAAGATTTATGATAAGTTATTCCATCAGCAGACAACAAATCAACAAAGTAAACAGTCTTATCACAAGCTTTGCATTTATCCAATGTTCCTGTGAATGACATTTTTTTAAATTTTTTTTTATTGTCTTCTTTGCTTTTGTTTGAAATTCAATCTCAATAACTTTTTTGTTTCGGAGTTAGAAATGGCAGAGGGAAAAAAAATTCAACAAGAAATGCTCTTCTGCCCAATTATTTTTGGTTATTGAGATTAAACAAACAACAAAGAAAAGCTTGTGTAATAGAGAAATTCATTAACTTTTCCAATTGAAAATAATTAGTTGAATTATGCTATATCAACCGATAGTTTTCGGACACGTGATTGGGAGATCAAAATATTAGGAGATACAATTTACCTCTCATTCTCTTAAATTTGAGTGAAATTAGGACCTTCTTTTAATCTTTCCCTTTGTTGCAACATTATAATTTAATCTATTCTATGTTATTAGGTTAATTCAAACTTGGTATTTCCCTGTATTTTCGTTAAAAAAAATAATTAAAAAGAGGACTATATGTCATTTTTCTAACAAGTAATGAGCCCATTTGACTTAACTGAAATAATTGAAGAATCGAAACTTAAGATTGACTTTCAAAAGTTGCCAATATGAAACCTAGGCCAAAAGTTACCAATATGTAACCTTACTTTGACTTCTTGGCTCGTCCAACCTAGTAACATTCATGAGTTGCTAATTCAACTGATCAAAAGAAGTTGAGAAGTAACAAGCGCGGTGTTTTCTTTCTATCACTCTCATCTAACAACATTCATGAGTAAAATTTGGGGTAGCTCAGTCAACTTTCCTATTGCAATTGAATATATGTGATTAATTACATAATATCCTCTCATTTTTATGAAATCATATCAAGAATTTAAATCATATCCTCTACATAATAGTAACACTATATATATATATATATATATGTGTGTAACCATAGATATTAATTAGATCAATTTTCACCATTTGGCAAAGAACATTAGGAAGAAACAGGAGGTAGTGATCACCCCTTTATTAATAAAATTTCCCAAATGAGATAAGCCCCTGAGTCCAAAGAAGGATCATACAGTACTGATATTACAAAGAGAAGATTGAAGAAAATAAAATGCACATACTAGTTATTATAGCGGTTCCCTCTTTTCCTAGAAAACGACTCAAATTATTTATTTACGCTCTAATAATCACTCGTATTCCCATAAGGAATTCCAATTACATGCAAGTTGGTTTTCTTCCTTACTGTTTCACCAAAAGCCTCTGTCATGTCAAGGTTGTTTGGTTCAATTCCATTTGGTAGTTTCCAATCAAAATGCAACAAAAGCTGCGCAAGTGGAAGTTCAAGATTTGAAATTCCAAACAAAATTCCAGGACATGCTCTCCTTCCAGCACCAAATGGTATGAACTCAAAGTTATTCCCTTTGAAATCAAGTGTCGAATTCCGATGTCTTTCTGGTTCAAAGCATTCAGCATTTTCCCAGTATTTTGGATCCCTGCATATTGCCCATGCATTAACCATTAACCTTGTATTGGCCTGTATCTCGTATCCGCCAAGTTCACATCTTTGTCTAGCTACTCTTGGTACTAACAAAGGCACGGGCGCGTGCAATCTCAATGTTTCTTTGATAACTAATCTCAAGTAGTCCAGTTGCTGCACTTCAAACTCTGTGATCATACTTTTTCCTTTGAATGCTTGTCTCACTTCGGCCTGCGCCTGCTCCATTACCTGTGGATTTTTCATCAGTTCTGCCATTGCCCACTCTAAGGCTGTCGATGATGTGTCAGTCCCCGCAATAAATGTTTCCTGAGAATGCAATTAAAGTTATATCTCAGATGAGTTGATCGTGTAAATAGTTCTTTTACACTATCTGTATATAGAAGTTAAACTCAAGTCGAAAGCTTTCTAAAACATTAAAGTAAAAGTGAGATTCTGTAAAAACATACCAAAATGACAGCTTTGATTGTGTCAGTTGTGATAGGAACTTCAAGGTCACCACTTTCTTGAACTCTCAATAGTACATCTACAAGATCTTCCTTGTCCTCACGATTGATTGCTAGTTTCCTTGCAGCTTTATGCTCTTGGAGAACGCTTTCTAAAATCTTGTCGATTTGGTGATGTATTTTCTCCATTGCAGCCTTTGCACCAGTTAGAGGATGGAGAAATTTGAGTGAAGGGAATGTGTCTGGCAAGTCAAATCCACCTGCAAGATCAACTATTTTCCTCAAGGTAGCGATAAATTCATCTTGGTTCTCGAGTTTCCTACCAAATGCTGCCCTGGCAATTATGTTGTTTGTCAAAGTAAATATCATTTGACTTAGATTGATGGTAGTACCAGCAGGATTCAAGGAAATCGTCTTGATGAGATCCTTCACTTCCTCTTGTCTTAACGACTCAAATGACTGTACGCGTTTGACATTAAGTAGCTCTGCAACACATATTTTTCTAAGTTGCCTCCAATGATCACCATAAGGAGAGAATGTAATCTGAGTGCTATTGTATCCAATTATATCTGCAACAAGAATTTTCGGCCTATCTGCAAAAACAAGATCATGTGTTTTCATAACTTCTTTCGCTGCTTCAGCCGAGGATACAATAACAGTAGGAACTTCACCAAATCTCAAGTGCATAATCGGTCCGTATTCATTAGCCATGTCTCTCAAAGTATGATGAGGGAGTGATCCCATTAACTGATGCAAGTTCCCGATAAGAGGAAGTTTTCGTGGACCGGGGGGTAAATTTGCCCCTTTTCCTCTCATGGATTCACTTATAAGCTTAATAGCTATGACTAGAAAGACTAGAAAGCTAAGAAATATAGAGAATTGGGAGAATGGAAGCTCCATTTCAATGAGATTTAGTTATGTGAATACAACTTTTACAATGTTAAGCTTTATAGAAAAGTTTCAAGAATTAAATAATAGCTCAATTTCTTGTTCTCTAGTGCAAGTTGTTACTGTAATCATCATTGTAATTGTTACTGCAGAACTCTATTCCGTTATCTTGATGAGAGTATCAAATTGATCAATCATAGAGTTTTGGACATTACCTCCTTAAATCTTAAACTATATATATCTTCATGTAACATTATTTCTATTTATATCAATCATGTATAATCTTAGTCATGCTTTTATAGACAGGATAGGGTACTTTTAACTGTGTCTGGATGAGTGTTGCAACATAGTAAGAGATGTGACATGTATTTACCATATACAACTATAGTTTCTATCAACTGTATTTTACATTTGTATTCTATCAAATATAAGTGGGAGATTTGTATCAAGCGAGAGATGGTGGAGATCTATGTTCTTCCTTTTCATACTCGGACTCTTTGCACGCCTGAACGAGGGAGAAATATAATATTGTATTAAAGAGTATACAAAACATGATACAAATGTATAACTAGGATAAGATACAGTTGAATACATCGACACAAAATCTATAGCCAGTAAACACTCAAATACATCAATATATAGTGAATACATAAGGAACAAATAGACTTGATAATTATATTTGTTGATACATAGTGAATACACAAGGAACATATACACTTGACGGTGATACAAATTTTATTTGTTGATACAACCTGATACAATTGTATTCGTTAATACACTTGATACAATTATATTTGTAATACAAATCAATTGTATTCGTTGATACAAATCAATTGTATTCGTTGATACAAATCAATTGCTCTTTATAATATGTAAGTATGAATTGTAACTAAGCAAGCTATAACTATAGATTTATAGTTATGACCAAACTAAAGTCATTTTTGAAATTACATAGTAAAGCAAACATGTGATATGTATTTACTATACACAACTATAGTTTAAAAGAATTACAATTTATAACTATATTTTTTATAGCAAATTTCTATCTCCCTCGACTCTCCCCTCTCCTTCTCTTTGTATTTCCAGTCCAATACAAGTTCCAGATTGCAAAAGAAGTTGTATCAATTGTATTTTGGCAACTGTATTTTGTATCATTTATAGTTGAGAGATTTGTATTAGGCAAGAGATGGTGGAGACCTCCCTTATTCATCTTCTCCTCTTTTATTTCATAGGCAGACTCTCAATATGCCTGAACGAGGGAGAAATACAATATTATATCAATTGTATTCTAAAAGAGTATACAAAATATGATATAGATGTATAACAAGGACAAATTACAGTTAAATACATTGAATACAAATCTTTAGCCAGTTGCAAATACACTCAAATACATTAATATAGAGCGAATACACAAGAAACATATACACTTGATACAATTATATTTGCTTATACAATTGTATTCGTTAATACAATTGATACTTAGTGAATACACAAGGAACATATACACCTGATATTTGGCGATACATATTGTATTCATTGATACCATTTGATATAAATGTATTCGTTAATATAAATTGTATTTGTTTATACACTTAATATAATTATATTTGTTGATACAAAAAAAAATGTATTCGTGATAACCAAATACCCCATATAGGACAGGAAATTACTGCACTATATAAGAGTATTTATGATAACCAAAGCTCAAAAACTTGTTTCTTTTGGTGTGGTAAAGGTAGTACACTAAGCCCTACATTATTATTTCGTCATCTTCATGTTTATCTTCATCCCGTTAAATTACACTCTAACTAGTTGTTGAACATCAACCTAAAATTACTCTAACATAAAACAATGTTACTTGTCTTCAGGGGCGGCTGGCAAGGCTTGTCAAAAAGTCCTTGGCCTTAGGCCCCCAATTTTAGGGGGCCCCATTTTTTAGTTAATTAGGTAGGATTAAATTAAAAAAAAAAAAATTAGAACTAAGACAATAAATGCAAAGGCCCCATTTTTTAGTTAATTAGAAAAGATTAAATTTAAAAAAAATAAAATTGTTAGAGCTAATAAGTCAATAGTGAAACGGCTAAATGAGGTGAAATGAGGTGATAGTCATAGATATGACCATGACTTTTTAACTTTCCCATAAAAAATTGAAAAGTTGTGTACTTTTTTTTAACTTACAAGTTATCTTCTTTTTTTTACCTTATTTTGTTTTCTAATTTTATTTTTATATATTCTATCCTTCTCCCTTCT